CCCAAAAACTACTTCCCTGGAGCGCTAACACCACTGCTCTGGTGAAGAAGGCCCAGCAGAGGCTCTTTTTTCTCAGACTTTTAAAGAAAAATAACTTGAGTGAGAAAATACTGATGTCTTTCTATCGTTGCTCAATAGAGAGCATTTTAACATACTGTGTCTGTGCCCGGTTTGTCAGCTGTACGGCTGTGGAGAGGAAAGCACTCCAGAGAGTTATCATCACAGCCCAGAAGATTATTGGCTGCCCTCTCCCGTTTCTGGAGGAATTGTATAGTTCTCGATGCTTGAAAAAAGCAAAGAACATTCTGCAGGATTTGTCACACCCTGAACACTCCCTGTTTGAACTGCTGCATTCGGGTAGAAGATATAGGACAATTAAAACAAGGACAAACAGATTAAAAAACAGTTTTTATTCGAGAGCTATTATTGCTTTAAATGCTGTATGAAATTGGAATTTGAGTGACATTGGTGGTTTAAGTTGCAATGTGAACCTTAAGGGAGTTATGGGATGGTTGTGAATGGTTGTGTGAGTATGATGATGATGATGATGATGATGATGATGATGATGATGATGATGATGATGATGATGATGATGATGAATGGGACTAGGCATACTGTGAACATCAGTTATAACATCAATTAGCATCTCTTTTCCCAAAAATACATGACCACAGAAATAAATGTAAGCTGTTAACACCCTGAAAATGTTTGTCTCTACCAGAATTTCAGGTACAAAGTTTTTTTCCTTAGACACTGCAATCCATGAGCATTTTGCACAGCAGATTTTCTATTTATTTTTTTAATGTTTTGTTTTTCATGCTATTATTACAGCTTTCATGGATGCCACAATCACTAAGAAAAAGGGTGTCCAGCATTTGTATGCATTTATGTGGGAGTGAGGAAGTGACAGGGAAACGAGGCTCATGGTAAAGCCTATAATTTGGATGTGCTCAAAGCCTTATATCCTAGTGAAAAAATGTACATGGTGTTCAATAAAGCACAATAATAATGACTATGTACCATACTAACCCCACATAGCAACTTAGTGCTATATTATCCTGTTAATCACTGTTTGAGTTTGATATGCTTCATTCTTTTGTATTCTAACCCAGTAAAATGCATCAGGTTCTCCACGAATAACTGACACTTGGAGATGAGAATCTGAATTTTATAAACAGCTTCACTTTTCTTCATTCCTATTTGCCAGAGATAGGTACTCAGGATATATGAAGGATCACAATGCTGCTAACTCCATTCATTGTAAACTGCACTCTCCTGTGTAGTGATCTTTTGCAACTGAAGAATAACCTCCCCTTAGATCCTGACCTAGTACCAGATTAGCTGACCTCCTTCCTGGTACCATGTGAAAACCCACGTCCCAAGGACTTAAGGCAATATCTTTCTTTCCCACCCTCTGTTGCTAAAAATAATGTCTTAACTTGTTTATGCGCTGCTGTTTAATTGGTTTGTATGTGGCTTAATTACTTGCTATTTTCCTTGTTTCTACTTTATTTATCTGTCATTCAGAGGTAGGAGAGAAGTTTCTGAAATAAAACAGCTACAAATAGATAATGGGTTGGATCCAGACTAAATGTTCATCTAACAGAAGGGGGAGGGCAATTTCCACCAAGTCCCTCTTTCTGCTTCAGACCCCTTAGTTGCCTCTCATGTTGTTCTTGAGGGTTTTCTATACACCACAGGAGTGCATTTTGGGGAGATCAGTGAACTACGGTGGAAGGAGGAGAGGCAGGAAAGATCTGTTTCATTATAAAAGACACCTTGCATGAGCAGAAAATTTAGTTTGGATCCCACCCAATAAATCATATATTTTAGTAAGTTCTGTAGAAAAGAATGCTTTGAATGTGTTTGGACAAGAGGTAGGTAACATTGGCCTGGGGTTGACACAGAATTTTTGCACAAACTAAAATTCAAAGCAGACTTGGAAGCAACATAACTGAGCCCCAATTTAAATGTGACATTGGGCATGGAAGAATAACCTATCCATACAGTGTCCCATCTGTGTGTACAGCATTAGAATGTGGGTTTGAGACCTGAGCACGTACAGTAGCTGTATGCTGGCACCTAGTTTAAAGATGAAGCCAGCCACATGGAACATGGAACAGGTAATACCTTCTAGAGGGCTTGTCAACACAGCTAAAACTGAACCTGAAGAATTTTGATGGAAGAAAATCACAGTTTGAAAAGGCTTGTAACATTCCTAATGGGGAAGTGGTTTCCCATCTCTGACAGAGTAAATAGAGACTCCTGCTGTCACCTGACTAATTAGTTAAATATTAGAGTATGTTGAAGAGCTTATCGATGATGGGCTATATTTTCTCTGTGTCACAGAAGTCAATGACAGCCATGAATGCACGGGATGAAGTAAAGCACCTGCACCCTGATGTGTAGTTGGAGTACAGAAACTGGAGTACGGAACTGATGCATCAAGTTCAATTTCCAGTGTAGTTATCATTTCATTGATATGCACAAGTATCCTAGGTCCTCCTCATATGCAATATTATCCCATTTATTTTCCACAGGGGAAATATATGCAAACTACTACCGTAAGTATGTCAGTCAAAGAAAACAGAGTTGCAGCACCTTGCCTAAGGCTGGGGAACTGTGCACAGAGGATGCAAAGAGCAGCAGCAAAACTAACAATCCTTCCCCTTTTCCACTCTCAAGCTGCAGCAAATAATAGGTAAAAATCATTCCTTTGCTTACCCTGGAAAAATTGCTTTGTAAAAGATTTTTTAAAACTTGCTGGGCATTCAAAAAATCCCAAATGGATGCCTGAAAAACTCAACCCCACCATCCCTCAAAAAAAAAAAAACCCTGCTCACACATACCTCCCTTTCCAGTCCCCTCCCCACCTCCAGAGCAGCAAATCCTTATATTTGGGAAGACACTAAGCAGGGAAGGCTATTTAAATGCAGGACATAAGTATCTGGCACATATCTTTCTTGTATCTTTATAGCAAGATTTGTAGATGTCTTCCAAAATGGCTTGGGAGGTCTGCTCAAAACATGTGTGCCGCCTAATTCCATTATACATACTTGACAGTACCTGTGATTTACACACACACGCCCCGTTTTTCCATGAGATCTAAATCAACTTCCTCCTGACCATCTATCATCACAGGGATGATGATAGCTCCACAATAACTACTTTGAGTGTGTTGTAATAGATGTATTAGGCAGTTAAATCATTACACCAGCCAAATTTAAATAGTCCTGAAATATTTCAGTTTGGGATGCAAACTTACTAGTTAAGAAAGGTCTGTTCAGATGTTACTACTGTGCACTGGAGAGCTGAAAACCTTCTGAGTCAAAAGTTATAACAGTACTGACCAGCTGCTAAAGAAAAGAGGAATAGAGGGCAGAATCCTCTTCCTCAGGGTGAGAAACACTGAGAGACACTTCTAACTGTAGCCTCTCAAAGCACTGATCTGAAGCTGGGCTACCTGCTATTCTCATCCTCTTCCTTCTGTTATAAGAGCACTCATGAAATCAGCTTTTCCATTCCTAAAGGCAGCCATCATGACATACTGGGAGCAGGGAAACTCATTCTGTGATTGCTCCCGATCACACAACAAATTCCACTGTCCTGTTGGTAAGAGTGGGCAGGGGTCATAGAAAAAGAGGTGCAGGAGCTCATTAGCATAGCTCATTAGCAAAACATTTGCATATGCCACAGCCCCTGACATCACCGGAAGTGTGTCAGAAGGCAACACCCACTGCTCGGGCTCCACTGGACTGTTTTGGATTGCTAGCTATGGGGCGGGGGGAACGGGCAGATATGCCCTCACAGAGGGAGAGCTTGTACCTGAAGGTGGGCCGGGGGGGGGGGGCTTTGCAACTTACCGGGCTGCTTCTTGCTCCTCGTGGCCCGACTGAGGGCTGCTGGGAGCAGGGGGTGGGGCTTATTGCATGTCCCCGCCCCCTGGGCTCCTTACTGCCGGAGCTCCGCTTCTGTGAGCTCCCGCAAGAAATGACCCCTGAGAGTGGGAAACTTTCCTTTAGGACACTAATCAGAAAAGGCATCCCAATTCTTCAGGTCCACGCTTGTCTAAACCATATTTAAAATTGATGGAGAACTTACACCCCTTCCCTCTGCCTCATGAATGTCCTGTCTGTGGGAGTTGTATGTGATCAGGGATATACGTGTCTAAAAACTGATCACAGAACAGATTTCACAAGAAGAAGAGAAGAAGAAGAGATTGGATTTATACCCCGCCCTTCACTTGGAGTCTCAGAGCGGCTTACAAACTCCTTTCCCTTCCCCTCCCCACAAAAGACACCCTGTGAGGTGGGTGGGGCTGAGAGAACTCTGACACAAACTGCTCTTTCAGGAACAGCTGTGCCAGAGCTTGTGACTGACCCAAGGTCACATCAGCAGGTGCAAGTGGAGGAGTGGGGAATCAAACCCGGTTCTCCCAGATGAGAGTCTGCACACTTAACCACTACACCAAACTGGCAAACTGGAAGGTGTGTGTGTGTGTGTGGGGGTGCTTGAGTGTGCATGGGTGTGCATATGCATACATGTGTGTATGTACAAGCTGAAGATTCAGTCTGGCACTTGACCACAGGTAAAATGTGACCCATCCTGTAATTTTCAGGAATTAGTTCAAAATCTTTGAGATACCTGTAATATTTAAGATTTGTCCATTACTTGATACAGCCAAGATTCCAGAAAATCCTGACTGCAGACAAATCCATGTATGTTCATCTTCTACACTAGCAAGTTAGATGGCACGCTGGGTAGAAGCAGCAGGAAGTACTTCAGCACCATGCCTGTATGAATCTGGAGAAAACAAAGCTATCCAGTGTTTTCTAGCTATTTAAAGCTTCAAGCTTCATCATGTATTATTTCTGTAGGACGCAGGAACACAACACTACCACATTCTCAACAGCATCAGGAACATCAGACATCCTCATGCTTCCCCAAACGTTAAACTGAGTAAAGTTTCATCTGAGTATCTGAAACATAAAATTACTTACTTCAAAATTACGCAGCCTGTGCCCAAAGGAGGCGCTGTCCAAAAAACTTGAATACGCGTCCTTCTCCTTGGCGTGCTTTCAGTAACAGCCACAGGACAATTACTCATGAACTGTGTTTCTTCTTCATCAATAATCTAAAGAAATATAAAGAAGCTATGTTTCATTACAATTATCTCATTCATATATGTGAGATGTAAAAGCAGCAGGCACTGTAAAAATATTAGTATCAAAGAAACGTTTTTAAAAGCCCTACACAAGGACTTGTGGATGGCATCTCATTTTGCCTTTTCTGAAAGCCCCCATAGCCTCTCCCCTTTTCCTGCTTCATTCCCTCCTTTCCATCCACAAGCCAACCTACCTTTATCTTCCCCCATGTCTTCAACTTATCCTCCTTCTCTACTCCTGGCAGCCTGTACCCAAGAAAACAATGGCTGGGTTTCACAGTGGTGACCACCAGGCTGGACCCTGTTGCAAGGAGGGGAACCCACAACTTTTACCTGTATCCCCTTATGCCACACTATTTCCTCTTTCCCTCTTCCTGGCAAGCCTCATATCCTCACTTTTCCTTACTTCCTAATGTCCTTCCCAGCCACCAAACAACCTACGATTTATCTCCCCCCACAAACACACACACCATGTTCAGCTATATATTGAGAGTAGTGGTTAGAGTTTTGGACTAGAATCTGGAATACTCAGGTTTAAATCTGCCCTCTGCCATGGAAGCTTGCTGGATCTCTTCTGGCCAGTCATACACTGTCAGCCTAAACCCACCTCATGGGGTTGTTTAGAGGATAAATTGGAGGAAAGAAAAATGATATAAACTGCTTTTGGTCCCCATTGGGGAGAAAAGTGGGATATAAATACATGTATTATTTATTTACTTCATTTATATGCCACCTTTATCCCCAGTGGGCACCCAAAGCAGCTTACATCACTCTCTTCTCATCATTATCCTTACAACAACCCTGTAAGGTTGGCTAGACTGAGAATGTGTGTCTGGCCTAAGGTCACCAAGTGGGGTTCCATGGTAGAGTGAGATTTGAATCTAGATCTCCCAGATCCTAGTTGGAAACTTTAAGCAGTATACCACACTGGCTTTCATGGGGTAGCTGCTGCTGAACAGCAGCAAGTAGCAGGGCCTGAGTTATTCAAGCTGCATGGTAGCCAATTGCCTGGTAGTAGCTGGTGAGCCTGGCCTGGATGAGTTCTCCCTCAAAGGTCAGAACAGCCCTGAAAAGTGCCAAGCCTCCTCCCCCTGCCCCTGCCTTTTACTGACAGCAACCAAAGCTTGAAAGCTGGCAATATTGTTGTGGTTACCTAGTGTTGCAAATATTAGATTAGATTACGTTAGATTAAAAAATCCTTGTCGCCAGTGAAAAGTACGCAGACAGATGAGTGATTTCAGCTAACGTACTTTTATTCGTGAGAAACAAGACAACTTTAGCCGGCTCGCAGGCCGGCTTATATCCCCCATGAAACCACCACCCAAAACACACACCCCACACCGCAATAGGCTATTTACAGTGACCGAGAGTTCCATAGGCTTTCGGCCAGGAACCGAGCCCTCGGATAGGTGTGGGCTAGGATCCGCTTTGTCCATTGTATCCTGGAGCGAAGCTCGATGGTTTTGCTTGACCGCGTGGAGCCCCAGTCGGCTACGCGGTCAGAACTGGATATATTACACCTAGCAACCCACACAATGGTCACTGAGAGGGCATTTGTTTCTTAAAGCTATGGGCACTGCATCCACCATTTGGGAGGTTTAAAACCCCACCCCCATGAACTTTGTTTTAGATTTCAATTTTTTCTACAAACCTGGGGCATATTTCAGGTTTATGAAAAGATCTGTCTTGCTTGGTCATGTTTCCAGTCTCTGGATTTATGTATCCACAGATCTGGTGATGCTGAAAATTACACATACTGATGATAGGGCAGAGTAAAACCACATGCTAGAATTTCTTGAAGAATAATTTGCTCTCATTCCCTGAAATCCCAGGATTGTATTTCCTTTGAAATTTCTAAGGAGCCAGATAATTCTTCCAAAGTCAATCCTATCTGCAGCACCTACAAAGGCTCTACCAGATAAGTTTTCAGAACTTGGCAGAAGCTGCATCCTTATCATCTAGGAGCCATACAATATTTGAGCTTTTATATATAAAGGTTGTTTTTTCACGGGGGTGATTCCATGTTTTGGCCTCAATGCCACTGTGGATATGAACAGATTTTCCATGGTTTCCTGCCACACTTTTCCTCCTGTTATATTAGAGGTGCAGTTTTTTGGTAGACAAGAGAGGGTAATAGAATACTCACTCTCTGTGAGATTATGTTCAAAATGGCTGAATAAACAAGTTGTATTTCTGTTACTGAGGCCTTTTGATGCTAAGCTAGCCAGTCCCCAGGTCTGGGCGGGGGATTACTCCAGTTTCAGGGTCTTCTCCCCATCACGGGCCACTTGGCCAGTGGGTAGGCTTGCCAAGTCCCCCCAGGGGGCAGGGAAACCCCCGCCCCAGAGGCCCGTTCCCCACTGCCGGTGGATTGGTCCCCGGGGGGAACCCCACCCCCAAAGTACGTGACGTGTGCATCACCCGGAAGTGGCGCGACCACGCCGGGCACACTGGAGGCAGGGCCATGGTCATCCAAGGGAAAACTCTATGGTTTTCCCTCGGATGGTTGTGGCCCCACCCCGTGTGCCCAGCGTGTTCACGTCACTTCCAGGTGACGTGGTTGCGGCACACGCACCCGCTCCAGCTAAAGGTAAGACTTGGCAACCCTACCAGTGGGGGAAACCCTGCCCCTAAACAGGGACATCACTGTGCAACGTCCCCAATGCAGTGATGTCACCCAGAAGTGGGGACCGTGCAGGGATGCTCTGGTATCCGGGTAAACGTCCTGTGTGAGGGTGAAACATCCTGCATGACATTCCCTAGCACCCCTGGAATGCCCTCCAAATCTCCCCAGCGTAGCAATGGGGGGACCTGGTGACCCTATTTGATGCACACTCATTGTGAGAGACCAGATACATAACATGGTGTCAGAAGTAAAGGTGAGTTGAAAAGGGGACCGAACAGAATGGCATTCAGCACCAGGCAAGTACCTCCTTTGTACTTTGAACATGGAAATGTTGCTGAGAATTGGGGCTGGTGGAGGGATGTCATGGATTTGATATTTGCAGGCCCAGAAGGGAGACAATTGGTCTGGCGCTATGGATGCCAACCTCCAGGTGGGAGGTGGGCATCCCCCAGAATTACAACTCATCTCAGAACTACAGGTATTAGATCCCCTGGAGATTGCAAAGTTTCAAATCAGCATTGCCAGATCCCAGGACAGATATATTTGCAGGGGAGTGCTAGTGGCAAAATATCTGCAGATGACAGAAGGAAACCCTCAGTTCTGTTTACAATGTCTGAGGAGTATTGCAGCCCCCTCCCCGTTCTCCATACAACGTAAATTATTTTATGAAAAGCATCAAAGGATATCAGAACCAGTGAATGAGTGGGTGACACAGTTACGCCTCATTGCTAAAGATTGTGCTTTTCATGACAGTGATGATATGATAAAAGACAGGATTTTAATAGGATCACAAGAAATCCAGGAGAAATAACTCCAGGAGGAAAGAGCTCACATCAAAGAAACCACTAAAAATAGCATGTGCGTATAGAATATCCCAAGCACAAATATTACAAATATATTACAAATATATTACGAAATCACACGAAGTGCTAGAAATTAAAAGAGAAACGATACGCCACAAACAAGCCAGAAAACAGATCACCAGGCCTCACCAGAAGTAGGCTACTCGAAAAGGACAGTCAAAATAATGCTTAATGGTGCAGAAAAAAACACAGCAAATGGGAGGAATGCCCATGTAGTGTATGCTGGCCTCCACCGGGGGCCAGCAAACAGCCAGAGCTTGACAGAAGAACAATAGGGACTAGGCTCCTAGTCCCTCCACTGGGGAACCAATGGGAACCGTGGCGGGAGATTCAAACCCACCAATGGTGACCAGGGGTGTGCCCCAGGGATGTTTATAGTGGGCCTGCCGGCCGTTTGTTGGTGTTCATGTTATGTTCCTAATAAAGCGTGCTATGCACCACGTCGTTGTCTGTCGTCTATCCATGCGGCTACCCACTACATAACATCCCAGCATGGGGGGGGGGTGTTGTTATAATTGCAAAAAGAGGAATAATTTCACCCAGCTATGCATTGCAGAAAATAAAGGACTGAGAAAAGTGAATGAGATACAAAAAGGAGAGGGACCACCACGTCGTTGTCTATCCATGCGGCTACCCACTACATAACATCCCAGCATAGTTGGGGAGATAGGGGGGTCCATCACATTTGGTGGTAGTGGTGGGATACGAAACAACCCACGACTAGTTGGAAAATAAAACACAAGATGAAATAGTTAAAAACTGCATGGTCCAATGGGCACAAAATTTGGGTCATAATATTGATTTAGACCATTTGGTCATGGGTAGAACAGAAGAAGTAGAGAAGAGGTTGGATTTATACCCCGCCCTTCACTTGGAGTCTCAGAGCAGCTTACAAACTCCTTTCCCTTCCCCCCCCACAACAGACACCCTGTGAGGTGGGTGGGGCTGAGAGAACTCTGACAGAAACTGCTCTTTCAGGAACAGTTGAGCTTGTGACTGACCCAAGGTCACATCAGCAGGTGCAAGTGGAGGAGTGGGGAATCAAACCCGGTTCTCCCAGATTAGAGTCCGCACACTTAACCACTACACCAAACTGGCTCACCAAACTGGTATGGAGAATATAATGTAAAGATTACTAAAGCAACTTCATTTAAAGAAAATATTTATAAAACATTTTATAGAATGTATATTACTCCCGACAAATTAGCAGAGTTTTATCCTGATTGTTGGAAGTGTCAAAAAAATGTTGGGTTCTTTTTTTCATATGTGATGGACGTGTGATTGAGTTAAAAAATATTGGTCTGCAAGAATATTATATGCCAAATATTGGAGGAAAAATGAAGTACTTTCAAAAGAAGAAATCATTAATAAAATAGTTGAAACTGCAGAGATGGACAAAATAACTTTAATTTTGAGACGACAAAACAAAAGAGACTTTGAGAATACTTGGTCAAGGTTTTACAAATGGATGGAAGAGAGCA